AGCGGGTGTGGGGTGAGCCCGCTTCGCCCTCGGGGAGAGTGGCCGAGCTAGTCTTGTCGTGCCCAGCATCCGCAATCTCTACGTGCAATCTTACGAATCCGCCATTCATCATAAAGCTCTTGAAAGAATCAGATCACTCGTTTAGGCATGGAGCGACGGGTGAAATCGCAGCCGGTATAATAGTGGCTTACAGTGACGATCGCGAACGTTTATTTATGTGCTTATTTAAAATATCGCAAATCGATATCTTAAATTCATGATTTTTTAAAAAAATAGCCGTCACTATGGATGGATTCAATCGATGCAAATTATAAAATTTGGTTAATTATAATTAATATTTATTTAAAATTTTCTAATTTTTTTAAAATGATTTCGACTGCAGTTCTATTTCTACTTTAAAACTGATAATGTGACGATAATCTTTCACTTATTTACATATAAATGAAATTGCAAATACATATATAACACAGCAGATTTTTATGAGTAAATTATTCTAAGCGATTAGCCGCTAGAAACATAATTCATACGCATGCACGCACACTTACACACTTATATATTTTTACATACCTTTAGATTTCAATATAAAATAATATCCTTTTTAATTTTTCTATATAAAATATAGATTTTTTCTTTTTTCCAATACCTATTGCATTCAATTTTTTAAATAGAAATATTTGCATGTTGCACTTTTACCAAATGCAATAGCAATTCTTTTATCAACCGCGTCTAGTGAGAATTTTTTTCCGAGAAACAAAATATTTCAAGCGGAAGTATCTTTTTTTTTACACGCAGTACTTGTTACAGCGACTGTTTAAAGAATCAACAATGCCCGAGCAACGTGCGTTTCTATCCATAAACGAAATAAAGAATAAAAAATGTGTCTTTGGCAGTCCCAAGTATGAAACTCATTTCGCGCGCTAACAGTTTGCGAAATAATAGAACGTTGACAAACATGCGTAAAGAAAAATCCGAGAAAATCACAGAATTACTGCCGTACAGTGAAGCGAGCGATATACACCCACACATACACATACCCACACATAGAAATCCCAACGAAATCGGAGGAAACAAGAAAAAAAAATATGTTGTATTCTGTACGAGCAGCATCGCGCAAAGACCGGAAATAGTCGGTCGAAATAGAGAGTTGCGCGTTCGTAGATTGCTCGCAGAGTGTATGTGTATTGCCGTTTCTACACATTCGTGAGAATGAACTCTGTATCCAAATTTAAATAAAAGCATCCCGTTGTTTTTATACTTTTTTTTTATCCTGCAATTATTTTTTATAGGTTTTACGAATTTCCCTCATTTGCTTAAAATTACATTACCTTTACATTTTTATTTCTAATTGTATGATAATTTGTTAATGTTTTAAATATTTATAACTAGTATATAATATTAGTATTTCCGATATAACATTTATTGTTACGTTACGATGCATTTCGTTTTCTTGCTATCTTATCTGGTAATCTCCAAAACATTTAAAAGATTTAAAGTTTCTTTTAACGAATGTAAACTTAATTAAATTAGATAAAAATACTTTGTTTTTCTTTTACAGCGTAAGACTTTTATTTTGTTATTTTTTATAGCATTTTATTTAGTTTATTTATTTCACCGAGTATAAATTTCGGATTTGACCTCGTAGAGTAGTGTGTCTGAGCGCTTATGTGCTGTAAGTTTTATTCTTCCTTTATCGCTCATTACAAGCAGAAGGAAGATAAAATACAGCGCGTAAAATGTTCAAACCAAACGTAGCTAGAGAATAACATCTCGACAAATATAGAACGTCAAATAGAAAACAAATGAGGCGTGTAAATAATAAAATACACTAACCATAAATCTACGTATCGTCATTTCTCGCATAAAATCCTGTGCATCTTCTTTATTCGATTTTACGACAACAATCAATGCAGCTAGTAGAAAAATGTACGACGTGCCACATTATCTGCTTTGACAGTCAAAAGTGATGCAGCCGTATTTAAAGTTACGCGACGTTATACGGTCAGGTGCGCTCTCTGAATAATGCAGAGCACGCCTAACCGCTATGAATCAGCATCAGACGAAATGGATCCTCCCGTTGTAGCTCATACTTCTTCTCTATCTTTTCAGCTCCGTAAAGATTTAACATAAGCAACCGCAAGATGCTGCCGTAAGGATACGTCTGTTTTTCACATTTTTCGTATCAAACATTTGTTTGCTTTATTTTATAAAAAAAAAAACAACTTTATACGTGCAAACTAAAAATTTGGAAGCACTTTTAAAAAATTGACATTTTTGGGATTACTTATTCAAGTATCCACAAAAATGTGTTTTTTTTTTAACAATAATTCTGTAGATCTAGTAACTCATTTGATTTAAAAAATTACTATTAAAAAATACATCGTTATGAATATTTAAATAAGTAATCCCAAAAATGTGTCAACTTTTTATCTAAAAAATTACTATTAAAAAAGCACATCGTTATGAATATTTAAATAAGTAATTTCAAAAATGTCAATTTTTAAAAAGTGCTTCCAAACTTTTAATCTGGAGTTATATCTTCCTACATCTTATTATTTTCGTGTAATTATAAGTGTGGATTTACTTTTACAAAACGTTGATCAATTCCTGTTATTTAATTACATACAAATATAATTCATATAATAATATTCACATGTATTTATCAAACTATATAGAGAGATATTGATATAATGAATCTATAGAAGATGTAAAAATAAAAATAAATTCGCATCTGAAAAAGGGAGGGTGCAGATATAATTATTTCTAAATTATACCAAGAGAAGATCAAAGTTTAAAAAACATCGACGACAAAATAACACACAAGGAGCGACTTCTCTTTTGCAATTAAAGCTAAAATAATAATCGAATAAAGAGGTGTTACCTCTCTTGTAAAAAATCATAATTAAAGGCACTTTGCCAAATATTCGTAATCTGAAAGAGTCATCAGAGAAACGGACTACATTCCTGATTTTCTTTTTTTTTCTTTCTTTTCCTTTTTTTTAACTTAAACACCGTACAGTAATTAGGCCACTCGTACAGGCCATCTACAGAACAAAGAACGACCAGCAATATTTTCCAACCGAAACAGAAATAGACAAAGGATTTCGTCCGTCGCCGTTAATCAACGTCTGATGACTACAGTTCAACTCGATCCCACCATGTTGCTCTTTAAATACTCTTATTCTACGTGTATTTAAATTCAGAGATAAACGGCGTGTCTATTTCAAAGCACAAAGGATGACCTGAAATGAGGGTGGCGTATTAACATTTTTTTAATAAAAAAAAAGGAAAAAAAAAGAAAAATCAGGAAAATAGTCAGCCCGTTTCTTGGACGACTGTTTCAGATTGTGAATATATTACAATTCTTTTTTCTCACGATACTTGTATGCATTAAAAAGAATAGTTCTGTGTTTTTAATTTGAGAAAGAAATGTACTTAGTAACGGATAAGCTGTATGTCACATCCTACTGTAAAAGCCACGATTTGAGGAAAGGGAGAAGGGAATTTGCGACATAGTAGGAAGAATAAATAATAAGTCTCGTTACCGAGAGTTTTCAGTCCGGTTTTCCATCCAGGGAAATTAGCCCCACTGTCATGAAACTCCAATTACACTCGTGCACTTCTAGTGTCTGCACAAAATCCGCGTATTCTCGGAACACCCGAATTTTGTATCAGCGGGGAAGAATTTCAAGTAGAATAAATAAGCATATTTTTTTAAGCAAAAGTACACACGAACAGATAAATGATCAAAAAACGACTCAAACGATATTAAAATGATCATCGCGATTTTCTCAACTCCGATCTAAAATCTGTTACTAAAATACTTGGGACATTGCGTGCATCAGTATAGAGATTCCAAAGGGTCTGAAATACCAAAAGTCCGCGAGATTGATACTGCCCGCAGAAGCATCCACACGCAAACGGAAAAACTTTTTCCAATTTCACCTTTGGGAACGAACCCCTAACTCGCCATGAGACTGGAGACGGTTATCTTGAACCTAGAAACTTCTTCTGCAGTACGAAGAAGAAAACGGGTTCTATGCATGATCTTCCTCTACATGTGTAGGAATTCTACGCGAGAACAATAAAACGTCCGTTTTAGTTTTAGACACTGGCGCGCGTCTTTGTGAAGTTAATATTAGTATAACCAATCTTAACATCCCAGTTATTATTAAATATCAAAGATCGTACATTGATTTGATATCCTTTACTTTATATATTTTTAAATTATTTTCATATGTAAAATTATCCCGTTTCTTGGATCGACAATGAACACCGTCAATGCATGTATAAACACGAAGTCTCATTCACTTTAATACTCCTGCATCAATATTCGATGTGCCGCATAACAACTGCAGTAATACCATCTGAATAACAATGAATATTTCGGGTGAAATACGTCGTCAACGTCTTACGCAAATACCTAGGAATCAAGCAGAAGGTCGTAATTATTAATCGCAGTTGTTGAAAAAGTAGAAAATCACAAAATTTAACACAGCGGACAATTGGTGGTAAAAAGATCTATGACGGCAACGAAATATAACGGCGGTAAATCTCTTTTAAGTTTCATGGCAATCTTCCTAAATTTTTTTCTCTTGAAGAATCGAAGGGATCGATCTCGGGTGACTCGTTTCTCAGTACCATATCTTCGGGACTCTTCTTTGGGTACTTCTTACGTTCTTCTGCCGCAGCGAATATCTCTCCGAACAACAATTCCGAAGAACGCGGAGTGCGGTACTTTTCTGGTATATCTCTTTTGTTCATTCTAGGACTTTTTTTATTCTCACTTTCAACAAGTTTCCGGAAGACACGCGTTACTGTCGAGAGTGACTTTCAACGGTGATCCGCCTTACTAAACTAACTGCCGAGCTATGACCTGATACGCAATCACCTTATGATCGATAGCATCATTTTATTAACTATTAAATTTGAACATTTACAATAATA